GTGTCACCGATGTCCCCTCAGTGTCACCAGTACTCCCCCAGTGTCACTAGTGTCACCAGCGCTCCCGATGTCACCGGTGTCACCACTGCCCCTCCAGTGCCACCCCAGTGTCACCCGTGCCCCCTCAGTGTCACCAGTGCCCCTGGTGCTCCCAGTGGCCCCAGTGCCCAGTTCCACCAGGCCCGGAGCCCGCAGGGGATGTGGTGAGGAAGGAGAGTGGAGCCACAGTTCTGTAACTCAAATCTTTATTGTCCTGCAGCCGTACCCAGGGCTCCATTACTATGTCCTTACCATCCCATTCCGTGCCATCCCATGCCATCCCGTGCCATCCCATGCCATCCCGTGCCATTCCCATCCCATTCCGTGCCATCCCATGCCATCCCGTGCCATTCCCATGCCATTCCCATCCCATTCCGTGCCATCCCATGCCATCCCGTGCCATTCCCATCCCGTGCCATGCCGTGCCGCGTTGCCGGCCGTCAGCAGAACCGTTACCATTACTAAACTCAGTAATGGTAACGGTTTCCCCGCCGGCCGTGGGTGCCCGGCTGAGTCCGGATCCTGTCCCACCCGGGATGTCCCCCCAGCCCGTGTGGCTCATCTCCGGTGTCCCGGGCGTGTCCCGGCGGTGGTGGCGGTGGCGGGAGGCGGTCGGTGCAGCCCGGGGAGTACATCATCTATACTGTAGTGTCTCATAGCCAACTTACAGTATACGATGATATCCTGCCCGGGACAGCGCGGGGAGCAGAGCAGAGCCTGCAGGGACAGACAGCATGGGTCAGGGAGCCCATTGTCACCCCGGTGTCACCCTCACCCATTCCTGTCACCCCGGTCCTGCCCCAGCACCTCCCCACCTGCTCCTCGTCCCTCCCAGTTCCACCACCCCAGAGCAGCACAGAGGTTCTCAGTGTTTCCCTACCCAGGTGTCCCCCCAGTCCCTCTTTATCACCCCATTCCCACCACCCTGGAGAGGAGCAGAAGTTCCCAATTGTCCCCTCACCCCAAGACCCCCCTACCCCACCTTTGTCCCCCAGTTCTGCCGCCCCAGAGTGGGATTGAGGGCTCCCAATTTCCTAAGGCACCCCCCTAATCCCTCCTTTTATCCCAGATCCCCATCTCACAGGACAGGGGTTCCCAAACTCCACATTTGCGTTCCCAATCCCACCCTCCCTGAACAGGACAGGGGTTCCCGAACCCCACATTTGTGTCCTCCCGAATCCCACCCTCCCTGAGCAGGACAGGGGTTCCCAAATCCCCACCTTGGTCCCCCCAATCCCACCCTCCCTGAGCAGGACAGGGGTTCCCAGGTGGTGGCACCTACCTGTGGGGTGGCACTGGGGCTTTGTGGGGTGCTGGGTCTGCACCCGCCTTATAAAACCTGCTCTGCCTCATCTGCATATCTCACATCTGCACTGCACAGCTGGACGGGGCCCTTAACCCCTTCATGCCCAGGGGGCACCGCCCCGAGCAGCTCCCCACACCCAGCCTGGCATTGTCCATGAGGGGATTTGGGGTTTGCAAGGGGGCACTCCCTGTGCTTCCACTTCAGGGTGGCCCCACAAATGCCCCATCCTCCTGTGGTCACCAGCATTATCCCTTCCCATAGTTCTGGGGACACTGAACTGGGAGCTCCCCACTGCAAACTGGTTCCCAGCTGCTGGACAGTGGTGTTGGATAGGGTGGGGTGGCAGCCTGTGGGGATGGGGACCAGGAAGGACATCTGGGGGACACAGGGACATATGGGAGTGGGAGTCACCCTACACAGGCACCCTGAGGTGAGGTACAGGGTACACATGGGTGCAGGAGTCCCCTGGGGTGGGTGACCTCTGTAGTGCTGTGTCCTCGGCCATATTTGCTCCCCTGAGGGACATGACCTCTAGCAGTGTGTCCCCAAAAAGAGGATTTGCCCTCCTGCCCTTAGGGACACCCTGGAAGCGCATTCCCCCTCCCAGGAGGACGTGACCCTTGGAGGGATGTCTCCCCCAGTTAGGGAGACACCTCCCCTGGCCATCTGTGTCCCCTGGAGGGATGTAACCCCAGCTGTGTCCCCCCAAGGGCCCCTCCTGACCACGTGTGTCCCCAAGAGGGCCGTGTCCCCTCATTGCACATGACCCTGGTCACACTTATCCCCTGACCACGCGTGTCCCCAGACAGCTCCACCCCTGACCATGAGTGTCACCTGCCTGTGCATGACCCCGGTCATTTTTGTCCCCCAGCCCTGTCTGTCCCCACAGGGCCACATCCTCAGCCGGGGCTGTGCCATTGTTCTGGGCTGTTTGTGCCAGGCCAGGCTGGCATTCCTGGAACTCGCCTGGGGGGAGGTGATAATGACAATCCCCCGCCTGTGCTCCGGGTCCCGATAAGCAGCAGCCTCGGGCTATCAGGGACCCTGCCCTGCCACACAAGGTGTCCCTGGACCCTCTGTCACCTCTGGGTGACAGGAACAGGGGCAGCACGGCCTGGGCAGCCCCTGGCAGGAGGGGGCACAGGGTCCAGCCCTGCTCTGAGCCTGTCCCAGGCAGTGAGGCTGTGGGGACCTCCTGGTTTGGTTCCTTTTGTGACCCAGAGGTGTCCTGGAGCCTGCAGTGTCCCCAAACTGTGGCACAGGCACCCCAGCGTGCAGAGCAGTGACACAGGCAGTGTCCCTGAGTCCCCAAGCCCTGCTAGCCCCAGGTGAGTCCCAGGGATGGTCCCCATGGCACTGTCCCCATGGCATTGTCCCCATGCTGGCAGTGCCTGCCAGCCCTGCTGCCTGCTCAGCACCCGAGGGCAGCCCTGCCCTGTGGCCTTGTACCCCACGGTGGCAGAGGGGACCTGAGTGTCCCCACAGCTGGTGTGGGACCCCCAGATGCCACAGAGCCCCCCGAGTGCCACAGCCCTCCCAGCAGCCATGACAGGACAGCGTGGCTGGCTCCAGATAAGGAGGCACTGGGAGCTGCAGAGCTGTCCCCACCCTGTCTATCTGCAGGGCCACCCTGCAGGACACACAGGACAGGGCCTGTTGTCCTGCCCTGGGCTTGGGGGGGACATGGAGGGTCTGGAGAGCACAAATGACCCATTTTCCCCAGGGAGGGCAGTGCAGCAAAGCCCCTGATGCTGGCTGTCACTGGTCCTGCTTGCAGGGTGACCCTGAGCAGGACAGGAGCCCCCAAAGCCACCCTGGGCAGGGTAGGGAAGGGTGTGTGGGGCTGGGACAGGGCTCTGTGGCAGGGCAGGGGGACATGGGCTGCTGCCACCAGCCTGGCTGCTGTGACACCTTCAGCACCTGTCAGCCCTTCTCCAGACCCGGGGTGCCACTCTTTGGGGTGCCCCTGCCATGGTCATCCCCAGGGTCACACGGGCCATGCATGGGGCTCAATCCTGGCTCCACACTCATCCCTGAGGGAGCACGACAAGGGCTGGGATGGTGACCACGGGGAAGCCACCAGCTCCCAGGAGCCTTGGAGCAGCAGCCCGAGCTGGAACCTCACCTCCCACACTCCTTGTCCCCCATCCCCGCGGGAGCACCAAGCAGCCCAAGCCACGCAGGGGACCCGGGGCGGGACAGACAGACAGACAGAGCCCAGCAGGAGGTGACAAGGGTTTATTCAAGGGTTTCTTTGTTATCTCACGGCAGCGGGGTGGCGGCACATGCAGATAGAGCCTGGCCCGGCCCGGCACGCCTGCCCACCCGGGGGCTGATAACGGCACGGAGGGCACGGGGGGCCCTGCAGCACCCGCCGAGGGCCACTCCTGGCAAAGGACACCCCCGGGAGGGACCTGCAGCCGCCGAGGGCCACTCCTGGCAAAGGACACCCCCGGGAGGGACCTGCAGCCACCGAGGGTCACTCCTGGCAAAGGACACCCCCAGGAGGGACCTGCAGCCGCCCTGTGGCACGGGGTGGGGGCACCGAGCTGGGGGTGCAGCACCAGCAGTGCCAGGCTGACTGCACACACTGAGCTGTGCCAGCCACGCTGAACCAGGCACTGGGACAGGCTGGGGAGGGCACAGGCCAGCACAGGGCTCTGGGGGCACACACAGGGACAATCTCCTTCACATTGTCACAAGGCAACAAAGCCACTGGCCTAAGAGTCAGGGGAGGGAGGGAGGCAGGGGCAGATGCACAGGCTGTGCTGGAGGAGCCTGTCCTCACCTCAGCATCCTGCTGGTCCCCCACCCACCTCTGAGCACCACTCTGCTTGAGCATTTGTGGGGTTGGGAGGTGTCACAGCACCTGGGGACAGCAGGCACAGTGACTTCACTGCCCTCTCAGGGGATGGGAGGCTTTGGCACAGCGCTGCTTTTCAGTATTCGTGGTGGTGAGATCTCTCCAGGGCTGAGCTGGGCTCCCTCTGTCCCCTGGAGCTCTCCCTGCTTCAGATCCTGTGAGGAAAACTCCCCAAGCATGGGAGAGGGCAGCACCGACTGCTAGATTGTCACCTGTTGTGAGGGGGTTGAGTGCCACCCAGCCAGCCTGGGCAGGGCTGCTGGCACTGTGGGGACCCTGGGGGTGAGACAGGGACAGCTGAGGGCAGAGGCAGGGCTGGGACAGGGCCCAGGAGGGTCACTGAGACAGGGCAGGGAGCCCAGGGGAGGGGGGTCCTGGTTCTCTTCCTAAACCTCCCCATCCCAACCCTCTGCTCCCCAAGTCCCAGGTGCTCACCCCAGGGCAGAGAACAGCAAGGCACAGGGACTGCAACACCAGACAAGCTGCCAGTCATAACTGGGGATGGGATTGGCCTGAGACAACACAAAGTTAATTAGAAAATAAATCCTCTTTCAGCTTTGGAATAAAAAGAGCAGCAGACAGGACATGCATCTTTCTGGCCCTACAAAATAAGGCACCAGTTACAAATGAAACTCGGATTGTCTTTGATATAAAAGGAATTCCCATGTGTAGAAGGCAGTTGATGTCTGAGTGCATAACAGGGAGTGATCTTCACTAGCTTTGGGTTGGCCAACCTCATTCCTTGGCCTCGGTGGCTTTCTGGAACAGAGGAAGCTGCAGGAGGGGAAGAGAGAAGCTGTTAGGGCTGCAGGAGGGGAGGCAGGACACTGCCTGCACTCTGTGGTGGTCAGGGCAGGGGAAGGAGAGGCTCTCTGGGAAGCTGAAAGCTTCCAGGCAAGTCCCTGTGCCCGGCTCACCTTTGTGAGATCCACACCAGTGATGGCACGCACGGAGTTGGGGATCTCAGCCAGGAGACGGTTCACATCAGACATGGTGCTGCCCTTCTCTCCACTGAGAATAACGATCTCATCCACTTTGGAGAGGGGAGCAGACACTTTGGCAGCGATCTGGGGAAGCAGGGAGAGCACAGTGAGGGAACTGCTCAGCAGCTCACTGGGAAAGGTCCCTACAAGGCTTTGCTGTGCCTCAGGAGACCTAGCCCAGTCTGGGAGCCCTCCCAGCCCACCTGGAGCAGGGGAAAGCTGCCCCCTCCTCACCTCAGGCAGTGCATCCAGCACTAGAGCCAGCTGGGCAGCTTCTCCATACTTCTGGAGCGCTTCTGCTTTCAGCTTCAGCCCCTCAGCCTCGGCCATCCCGACGGCCTCGATCACAAAAGCCTCGGCCTCTCCGATCTTGCGGATCTTCTCTGCCTCCGCCTGAGCCAGCAGGATTTGCTTCACCCTGGCAAGGGAAAGGCAGCCCTGCAGCAGCCTGGGTGCCTGCAGAGAGCCCAGGAGCTGGGGCTCAGGGCAGCACCCTGTCCCTCCTCACTCACTTCTCGCCCTCGGCGATCTGCTGGATGCGATAGGCCTCGGCCTCGGCCGGCTGCTTCACGGTGGCCGTCAGCTCCTTCTCCATCCTCAGCACCTCCTTCTCCTCCACCTCAATCTGCTTCTTGCGCTCCACCACCTCGATCTCGATCTCCTCCTGACGGATCTTCTGCTGCTCCCGGGCGCTCTGGAGCTCGTAGGCCAGCTGGGCCTCTGCAGTCTGCACATGGGGAAGAGGAGAACAGGGCTCAGGGCCATGAACTCGGGTACACAGACATAAGGACCCAAAACCAGACATGACTCCTGCTATTGAACTTTTGCCCAGTGGTGACATCCCAATCCTCAGCGCTGCTCTTGCCACTCAGCTCCAGGTTCAACCCTCCCCATCCTTTCCTCTTCAAGTCCCACCAAATTGCTGCAAAGAGGAGAAGAATCTGCTGCAAGCTCACAGTGACACACAGACCTGGGTTTTCCATCTCCAGCTCTACTAACAGATGCAGGAGGAGAAAGCTGACAAGTCCCAGAGCCACCAAAACCATCACAGACCCTCCAGGGAACAGCAGTGGGCTGTGGGATACTCTCACCTTCATGTTGACCTCCTCAGTGAAGGCAGCTTTCTGCAACTCAAAAGCCCGTTTGGAATCTGCTATTTTGGTATCTGCCATGAACTTGATATTCAGCATTTCCTTCTTGCACTCTGCCTCCTGTGGAGAGGGAACAGAGAGCAGAGCTTCAGGGCATGCAGTTGGAGCAGAAAAGGCTGCTCCAGGGAAGCCCAGCACGTCCCCAGACTCACCCGAATGCCAGCATCCCGCTCGGCTTCTGCCACTCCAATGTCTGCATCCCTTTGGACAGCTGCAATCTGAGTCTTCCCCAGGGAGCTCAGGTAATCCACTTTATCATAGACATCCTGGGGAGGGGAGATAAGTCATAACCACTTCAAATGAGTGACTCCATCTTGCTCCCTTTCCCATTGAAGCTCAGTGTGGTCAGGCCAGGGTCAGAATGTGTCAACAGCTGCTCCAAACAAACAGGGAGGGCAGGGAGAAGGAGGCCATCCTGACATCTTCCCTCACTCCCAGGAGGCTGGGTTATCAGCCAGCTCTCTCCACGAGCCTGTTTACAGAGGCAGCTACCCTGTGCTCTTGGCCCAGCTGCCTGGATACAGGACATGCTGTGGTGGCTGTCATGGAAACCCCCGGAGAGCTGGGACAGGCTGTCAGCCTGAGCCTTCCAGCTGCAGCAGGGGGGTCAGGGCCAGGCTCTCCTGCTGCTCCTACAGCTCTGCCTAGAGCACTGCCCAACATCTGGGTGTACCTTGATGGTGAAACTCAGGATCTCGATGCCCATGCGACCCACGTCGGGAGCTGCCACCTCCCGCACCAGCTTGGCAAACTGGTCCCTGTCCTGGTAGATCTGCTCCACTGTCAGGGTACCTGCAGAGGGGAGGAAGGTGAAGCACTTTATTTGGAACAGGTAACACACAAAAACGTCGGTCTAAGCTCAGCAACATCCTTGTTGTCCCTAATCTTGTCAGGCCTGGGCTCAAGGGCGTAATCCTCTGCCACAGCAGGGGCAGCAACATCTCAGTCTCACAAGTGCAACCACCACCCACATGTGCTACCTGTGGCCCTTGGGGACTCAGACATCTCTCACTGCAGGCACCGAAAACTCATTTATCACCAGGCCCAGGCAGGCAAAGGGAGCTGCTGGAGGGGAGATGCCACCTCTGCAGGCAGCACAGGACAGTCCCATGTGGCTGCATGGTGGCAGCGATACTGCTGGGACCAGCCAGCTGAGAGGGGCCAAAGCCACTCGAGGTGTCTCCAGGGGATGAGCCCTCCATACCCAGGATGGAGCGCAGATGTCCCTCCAGCGTCTGCAGGACCACGTTCTTCACATCCTGCACGTTCTTCCCCAAGAACTGCTCACAGGCCACAGCCAGGAGCTCCTTCTCAGTCATTATCTTCACCTAGAGACAGGAGACAGAAGCAGAGGGGCTGAAGGTGCCTGTTCAGGAGGTGCAGGCACCCAGCAGCAGCAGCAGCAGCAGAAGCAGCAGTACCACCACCAGGCTGCCAGGCCCCCATGCTACTGATGCTCCAAGGGACCAGGCTTGGAGCTGTCCCCACGCTGAGCTGTCCCAAAGTTGGGCTGTTCCCACGCTGAGCTGTCCCAAAGTTGGGCTGTCCCCAGGCTGAGCTGTCCCAAGCTAAGCCAGGCCACTGGAGCAGCCCCTGCTCTCTGTGCTGCTGCCCAAACCCAACAGCAGATCAGTGTGGAGCTGCTCAGCAGTGGGGACAGAGCCTGGCCCTACCAGACCCAGCTCACAGAAACCCTACAAAAACCCCTGAAACAGCAGTTCAGCCACTGCACCAACACCAGTCAGAAGAAAGCAGGGTATTAACCACCCCTGGCCAAACCCCATTTTGTTACCTTCCTCTTCCTCCTCTTTCACTAGAATTAATTTTTCTGACCCCAAAAAGACAGAGAATGGAAAGAGTGTGACATGCCCAAGGAGCAGCTTGGGAACAGGGGTTCCATTCAGGGTTCCCTGGAAGGAGGGATGGGACAATAAGGCCACTGCTTTGTCCTGCTTTGTCCTGGGAGCTCCCAGACATCCTTTGCAATGATCCCAATGTGCCATGGTCAGGACTTGGCTGTTCTACTCCACGTGGTCAGTGTGGTGACAGTCCCCAGAGCTGGGACACAGCCACCTCAGCAATGTTTTCACCAGAGCCAGGCCTAAAAGTGCCCCCATTCCAGCCAAGCCACGGTCCCAGGATGGCCCTGCTGGTCACAGGGCTGTTTTTTAAAGGCACAGTGAATTACAAATCCCTGTGGGGTGTGTTAGGCAGTGGGGATCTGTGCCTACAGCACCCAGCTATGAGGAGTGCAACCCACCAGGACAACAGCTCCTGGTGGCCATGTCCAGTCTGAGGGCTCAGGCAAAGGCTGGGCACAGGGACATTCTGTGCTGGCAGCACCAGAGAGGGAGCAGGTCCAGAGCAGCCACACAGCTTTCTGCATCCTACAGCACCCTCTCATGGACACAGCTGGGCTGGGCAGTGCCTCCTGCCCCACAGGAGCTGGTGGCACCCTGAGCCCTGCCCCAAGGACCTTGGCTGGACCTGGTTCTGAGCTTTCCAAAGCACAGATGCTGTACAGGGGCCCTCTGAGGGTCCCAGTGCACACTATGGAGGGACTCACAGGCTACAGACCTCATCCTGATACCTTCTAGCACCTTCAGCTGCAAAAGCAACACAGCTCTATCTTGAGAGTCTTGTCTGCCAGCCCCCACACACAGAATCATCCCTCCAGAGGCAAAGAGCAGCACCTGCCCAGGCAGTGCCAGAGAGCAGGACAGCTGGGACTGACTGCCATCTTCTAAGGGGACAGGAGGTGGGCCATGCCAGAGAGAGGGAGCTGGCCAAAACTCACCTGCCACAACCCTGCCCCTTGTAATGTTTAGAAACACCAACCCAGGCTGAGCCTATTTCCTACTGCTGCTTCCCAGACTGGCTCTCCCAGTCAAAATGTCAAACAACCTCAGGCAAGCATGACAATCCTCTTCTGCATTGTCCCCAAAGCCTCTTGGGATCATTTCAGGGCCAATTCTGCTGTGGTTTTTCTTGTCCCTACACCCCAGGCCAGCAGTGTGCTCTTCCCACACAAGGGGGAGTTGGGAGAGCTGCTCTGGAGCTGCACCCAGGAGTGTGAGGCTCCTCTCACAGCAAACAGGAGATTTCTGCAAGTATCAGAAGCAATTAGACTCAGCAGCCACATTTATGGCGAGCATCTGCCAGCAATTCCACCTCTCCAAACAATCCCCACCCTGGGGAGCTGTGGGGAGGACAGAGCACAGGGCAGGATGCTCATCAGGAGAATCCCTGTGGTACTTGGGAGCAAGGAATGATTCAGCCCCTGGATAAAGCCAGCCAGCCTCCACTGCTGAGCTCTGGCCAGCCCAGGGGAGCCTGGCTCTGCATGGAATACAGATCCCAGCCTCCAAAGCAAAGGCTGCACAAAAGAAAGCAGAGTTGAGCAATTTGTGCTCAGCGTGTTTTGCAGGGTTTCAGGCAGGGCACTGTGACACTCAAATGTCACTGCCATCAGAGGGACAGCCCTGGGCTGGCAGGGGATCAGAGAGCCTCCATCCAGCAATGCCCTGTGCAGGATCCACGCCTCCACACCCTGCTCCAGCCAGCTGCACTCGCAGTGAGGGGTGGGCACAGAGAATCCAATTAGCTGGAGGCTCAGGAAAATGCTGCACAAGGATACAGAACCCAGCATGGCCTAAGGGAGCAGCATCCCAGCACATCCCAGCACCCAGCCAACACAGGAAGGAGGCTATGGTGAGCACTCATTATATCCCTCCTCATTACATCCCTCCTCATCCTTATGCACATTAAGCACTTCTATCATTGCAGCAAACACTTTAAAAGCTGTTTCTCTACGAATAGTTTGTTTGGGTTTTTATCCCATCCCCTTTTTTTTTTGCTCAAACCCTTAACGGAAAAATGTTTCATTTGCCTCAAAAAGTGCTTCTGCAGAATTAAGGTAATCTCTGCCATGCACATCCCCAACAGCCTTGAGGCTGCTTTCTGTGTGGCAATTCCTTGGATCACAGCTTTAACATTAACTGTCAGTGGAAAAAAATGAACAGTGAGAAGAGAGAACAACATGAATGAGATGAACTGGGGTCTGCATTTTTAAATCAAGGCACCTAGTGATCCAGCCCTCTGCTACCAGACCATTTTGCAGGAAGGATTTCCCAAAACTAGGACAAAAGGGAATGCTGGCTTCAAAGCAACACCAAATACAGAAGGAAAAGTCTACAGATTTAGGAAAAAAGTGTGAAGGGAAACATGGGTACACACATTTTTGCCAACCATGCAAAGACCACTGGGGTTATGTGACACCTTAGCAGCTAAATGGATATCAAGGACTGGAAACTAAGTGAAAGATGGATATAAAGTACTGAAAAATAGAAACCAAGGGTGCTGGATCCATGAGGGATTTTTCACTCAACAGCTCCCCTTGGCTCCAGAGCTTTCCACTGAGAATGTGGCAGCCACTTGTCCTGTGACAACACAGTGACCACAGCCCTGTGTGCACTGAGAGCCACTCTTGGTTTGTCCACCCAATTGCAGAATGAGCTGCCAGGAGTAATTTTCAATCACAGCATCCAGCTGCCTATTGGAGGAGCCAAATTCCCTCAAAAACTAACATTTCCCTCCCAGCATCCTCCCCAGGGCAGGAGCTGGCCCCAAGGACAGACTGTACCAGGACAGCAGACCTCAGGCTCCAAGAAGTGCAGGGTTTTGGTGTGCTGCCACAAGCAGCAAAAGCAGGTTCTTACATTTGAAAAAAGCTGTAGAGAATAAAAAATTCAATTCCAGCCAAAAATTTTACACGCCAGTTTTAGTGCCTGGAGGGAGTAAATTCTTTTTTTCAAGCTTTAACTCACCATGAAGAATTACAAGGCCCATGTGCTAACAATAACAATCCAAAGGAATATAATGCTCAATACCATCTCAGGAGGTTATGGGTCAGTCCTGTGGGGCCACACACAGCTCCAAGGGCACCACAGCACATCAGCATTCCACAAACACATCAAGTCACCCCCACACACCTCATTTGCCACGTGGACAAATGAGACACCAGAAAAAAATGATTCTGGGAAGAGAAGGAGAAGTCACAACCCCCTTCACCACATGGAACATGCTGGAGCGTGTTTGTACCAACAAGGACAATGTGATTTGGTACAAAGGTTTATTCCAGAGCAGCTGGCTTCTCTCCCTGGACAACAGCAACCTCTTCAGAGGGAAAACCAGAGGTAAGTTAGAGACATGCATTCCTGAAATGATGTTTTGGAGTTACTGTACCTGTGCCACACCTGTGACAGTTATAGCTACCCCCTCCGCCGTCTCTACGTCCTCACACCTGGGCTGTAACGTCATTATCTCTAGGGAAATCCTGCCAAAAAACGTAAAATGTTTGCACGTTTCCAGGTTACACACACTCAGCTCTTTCCTTTGCATCTCCTGCCCCGGGCTACCTGCTGCACTCATCACAGGTAATGCAAGGCAGGCACAGAATGCAGCCAAGGGAGCACGTCTGTGACTGGAGACAGACAGGGCATTGTGGCCAAGAAACAGATTTTCAGATAGTGCTTAAAGGTAATTTATCAGCAAAGGCTGGAATCCAGACAGGAAATTATCCTGTGGCCCTTTCCCTCCTGCTGGTTTGTGAGGAGCCAGAAGCTGCAGCACTGGGAGCCCAAAGCCTCTGTCAGAGGCTCATTGTGCCACGGCAGCACGGGGTGGTGTCACTGGTTTGAAAGCACAGCACAGAACTGGGATGCTCCCACCCACCTCTCATGAGTGCTGGTGCTTGGCAGAACCTGACACTGATGCTGTAGAAGCCCTGGGTGAGCCTTACCACACACCTACCCCCTGACCTGGTTCACCTCTCCCTCTATTTTCCCAGTGTCCCGTGACCCAAAGATGGAAATGAGTCCCAGCTCTTTATGGCTGCACCTGTAAAACATCAGGCACCCAGGAACAGATCCTGCAGCTCCAGAGCTGCCTCAGCCACCCCAGGTGGGCTCGAGGTACTTTAGTCAGTCCCAGCAATCTGCTGACAGGCCACAATTTGGTAAAACAAGGGACATCTTTGGCTGTGGCAGGTTCCAGGAGGCCAAGCCTGGCTCCTGTATCAGCCATAACGAGCCAGAAAGATGTTGGGAGTCAGGACAGGGAGCCACGGGGCAGAGTTTGTGTCAGTGAACATCAGGTCAAACATCTGAACCATGAAGGGGCTGCCCTGGGCTGCTGTGTGCATGCTGAGTTGCTCCAGGATTGGCTGGAAGTGCTGAAACCTATCCTGCAAGTTCTGCCTGCCTTGGCCACTGTCCTAATTAAACTGGCAGGCAAACTGGGAGCTGATCAAACACATCCCACTGGCCAGGACATGCACAGGCATTTTTTGCCATGTGTTCACAGCTTTAATCAGATACTGCAGGATTTCAGCCTTCTGAAGGCCTAATCTAGACTTGGAATTTAATTTCCAAACTGTGCTGCTTCTTAGTTCTGTGCATAGGGGTATTTAGTCATTACTGGCTCACAATGCCAGTCCTGTGTGCTACAACTCATCTGAGGTCTCTGTGCTGTATTTTCAAAGGTGATAACATCCAAAATGGGCAGTGTCTCCATGTGGAGGAAGAAGGGCTGAGTGGGAATCCATAGCTAACACTGCAGAGCCAGGCACAGTTGCAATTTTGAAATGGCACAAAATCTGCCTTCCCACCTGTCCCAAATCCTGTACAGAATCCAACCTGGCCTGCCTGTGCCTCTACACAAAAGTGTGCCTCCAGATGCCCTTCTGCTCTGCCCCAAGCCCCCATTGGAGACAGTGCTGGCAAGGAAAGGGTTACAGCAGGAGCAAATGTTAGGTACAGCAATGCTGAATTTGGAATTTGCCAGGAATGTACCTGTCTGCATTACCTATGAACTGTGGAGTGCCACAGAGCAAGTGCTGGAGAAGGAGAAGGAGAGGAGAGTATGGAGATTTCAGCTGTCCCATTAGAAAAACCATTATTTTTTATGTTATCCTGCTGCTGCTGCTGCTGCTCAAAACTAAACAAACAGTTAGACAGGGTGTTAGGAAGCTGGAGGATTATTACCTGTGCAACCCCTGTTACGTACAGGGGGACCCCCTCCGACGTCTCAACATTCTCGCAGCGACAGAGGATGGTCAAAACCTCCAAAGACACTCTGAGCAGGGAGGAGTAAGGGCAGGACAGCAAATACACAAAGCAGTTACCACAGAGTAAGACACTCCTTGCAAAGGACAGACGAGACTTTCAGGTTTCAGCTTTTCCCTGGTCAGTTTGCTCCCAGGGCTCCACAATCAGCTTCCCTGGTCATGGGTGGGAGTTTACAGCATCCAGCAGCTCCTTTTAATGTGGATAAACAGGCTGGGGGCTCATCCCCACCCTGCACACAAAACTGTGCCATCCTGGTGTCACCTGGAGTTCTCTGTTGAAGTAATCCTTGCAAACAGAAAAATTCCTTTTGGTAATAATTTAGAAGCTTCTATGTCAGTATTTAAGAGAGGACAGATAAATGAAAACACCAGGGACCTGGCTACCCACCCCTGGCTAAGGCATTGAGGAGAGAAGCTGCTTCCAAGTGCTGTCCTGGGAAGCTGAATTAGCACCATTTGGCTTCCCCAAAGGCATATTAGACCACACTGTCTCTCTCACTGCTTTTATTTCTGACCCCAAAACAGGGACAGCATTTTTCCCCTTGTTTTTCCCCAGTGCTCAAGGTTGCAGCAGGATAAGTGCCCAGCACCCTGCCAGTTCTAACTGCTCCTTTTGTTCCCAGGTTAATGCTACCTGGCGGGATGCCGCTGACAGCAACACAATTGCTCCTGTCTCTCTTGCTTGCAGCACTGGCAGTTCCAGAAAAAATGTCCTAATTTCAGAGAAGGAAATCTGTCTCACTCTTCATGTTAATGCAGAGGGCTCCATCTGGGGCACAGCTTATGGCATGCAAGAAAGGAGAGTTAAGCCCCACATCCCACAGCATGAACTGGTATGGACTTTAAAGCAGAAGGTTTGTTTGGATGCTGGAATTCCTGTCAAGAGCCCCATTTGCTAAATAATGCCCAGACCTCTATCATATAACAGCTTGTTCCTGGCACTCCAGTTCTTGGCCCTGGATTCAGCCTATCCTTAACTCAATAAATCAGCCTCCCAAATGTGTCTGACCTTCTGCACTGGGCAGGTCAAGGTCCTGCACTGCTCCTCAGAAGAAGACGAGAAGCAAGAACCATTTGTTCAATTAACAGTTCTCCCAACAAGCTGTCTCATAAAAATTTGGGAATGAAGCTTGTCTGGCTCCAATGCAGCCCTTAAACACTGAGCCCACAAGCTGGGCTTTTCCTTCCTCTCCCACCTCCCATCATGTGCAGAGTGAGGGCAGCCACGTGCTCACTCTGCTGGTGAGGTACAGGGAAAAGAGGCTGGAAAAGGCTGCAAGGGTAAACTACAACCTCTGGCCATCACTCAGTGTAAAACTCAAAAGTCACGTCTTTATCCTTTTCCCTGATATTTTTTTACACAGATGGAGGAAATCTCTATCAGTGAACATGAGGGATGATTTGGGAGGGAGCATTCCTACACATCCTAGACACAAAGAGCTGCATTAGCAGGACAGCAGCACTACCACAGCATGTCAGCTCAGAGACCAGACTGTAAGCAGCAGCAAGCAAACTCCACGGCTGAGGAAAGGGAGAGAAAGGAAATCCCGTGGTTTTAAATGGGAACAGTCTGCTCCCAAGGTGACAGCAGTCAGCAGATCTTTACAAAGAGAAACTTGAGGAGCAGAGGGGGGCACTGGTGCACTGCAGGCCACAAACTGGTTTGTTACTGGGTGAGGGGTTGAGCCATACTGGGCAGAGCTTGGCTCCTCTTGTGGACACAGAGGCTGTTTGAAAAGCACTCCAGCTGAAAGCATGTGATTTCTTTTTTTGTGTGTGTCTTTTGCACTGTGGCACCCAGCTGTCCCCATGCCAACAGCCAGCAAAGAACTCCTGATGCTCATCCCTGGTTTCATACACAGTGCCTGATACAGTGCTCCTAAAAATACTGCTGACAGCCCCACTGGGATGATTTTGCCAAATTCCCACTCCAAAAGCCCACAAATAACAGGGGTCTCCTTACCTTTGGGTGTCAGTAATGCACCACCAAGCCCAGGCCCAGCCTCCATACACATATTGCTTCTCATCAGAGCCACAGCAGCCACCTGCAGAGAGCACAGAGACAGCAGGAGTACACACATGCATGTGCTCTTGGACAGGGAGTAACTCACAGGCAGAGGAGTTCCTCCTCTTCCTCCTCTCCATGGGCTTCACATGGCAGCTTTCCCAAGGCAACCTTTTTTGGAATTGTCTTATAAAGTTGGAAAGTATTATTTGTATAATTCACTATGACAAACAGTAACACACAGAAAGGGAATGTATGCCAAACCAGGGCTTTATTTTTTCAGCCCTTTCAGCTACCAGAATCACTATCAGTATCTTCAACTGTGATGTTAATTGCTTTGGAAAGCCACATAAGAAATCCACCTCCTTTCCCTCACACCATCCTTAAATTCCCACAGAAGCTCTCAAATCGGCATGGAAAGAGAGAAGAACCTTTGAGCTCCCAAAAAACACCTCCTAATTCTGGCTTGTGCAAATAGCACACTGTCTGATGCTTGGATGGTCCATCTCAGAGCTGGATGTGCCCAAGGTTCAGGCAGCCTCCAGAACCCTTCTGACACATTTAAGATTTGATCCTGCTGAAGCCAGAAAATGCTGTCTGGATTTTCATATCTTTGATTTAAAGAACAAGACACCTGCTGCCTTTCAAGAGAGCACCCTGCCAGTGATGAGACTGATGCCTGGGAAGGGAGGAACTCTGCAGTTCCCTGGCTCAGACCAGGGCTGGGAGCTGCTGACTCTCAGGCAGATGGAGCCAGAATTCCCTCTCTCAGCTGCTCTCCATAATCACTCTTACTACAGCAGTGCCCGAGGGCCTCAGCAAGGCGAGTGCTGTGCAAACACAGCAACAGCCAGCTCCAGCCCTGCGGGATAGAGCTCTGCAGGCAAGACAGAGCCAGCACAGAGGAAGAGCAGGAATGCAGAAAACTGAGTGGCTCTGGGAGCTCTGGGCTGTGGGAGGGGAAAGGGACAAGGATGAAGCCAGCAAGAGGAATGACCAGCATTGTTTGCATAGGTCAAAATGAAGGGCAGAAGCAGCACATACCCAGGCCAGCGTGCCTGCAGGGCCCTCTGACTGCAGGAGGGGACTCTGTCCTCCTTGTTCTCCTTTCCTGCTCCAGTTCCCTGTCATTTAGCCATCTTTTCCCTACTTCCAAACACTGTCTGCTTCCAGACACTGGCCACACACTGCCTGCCTCACTGGCTTCCATGCAGTGCTTGACAAACTAGCAGATCTGCCCCATCTACAATTCTTGCATTTCAGTAAGAATTAAATGCAAAGGGGAAAAGGCTTCACACACTTTTTCAGATCTCCCGTGCTGCACAGCCTAGAGGAATATTCTCCTGTCACCTCTGAGCCAGCCTTTGGATGGCTTTTTCCTGTAGCTGGAAGGGGATTTCAGCCAGGCAAGCATTACAGAAGCTGATGATACAACATCCTGCAGTAACCACAATGCCTTTAACATTTCTTGGAGGGCGTCAGCCCAGTTAGCTCAGCCTTTCAGCCAAGCCCTTGTTTTCCAAGAACAGGAAGGGAGGTGTTCCTGGCACTCAGGAAAAGCAGCACCACATGGAAAGGTATTTTATTTCCCAGGGTCTATGTGGTCTTTACTGAACCTCTGTTAATTTTTTCTTAATAATATCCTGAGAAAGCTCTGCACCCTAAACCCATTGTTACAGGAAAGTGCCTCTCCACACAGATGTTCCTCTTCTTCTGTAGGAAATGCAAGGAAATACCTTATTTAGTATCACACACGAAATGAGCTCCACATTTGCTTCCTGGTGCTCCACAACACAGCTGCAGAGCATGGTCTGCTGAGCTAGATTATATGTCAAAAACTGTTCAAAGCCTAAAAAAACCAGGGAAAACTAACACATGAAGGAGGAGTGGGATGCCAGCCAGCTGCTTTCACGCATGCTGGACGTCTGAGCGCAGCAGAGCTCCGTCCTGGCAAGGCTGAGGAGCCGAGGGCTCATTTTCCACGGCAGTCCTGCTGCCTCTTTCTCAATTCTCAGGCAGCAAGTGAAAAAGGAACCAACAAAGCAAAAACCTTTGCAAGGCTAGAGAATAAACCCTCTTGCACAATGAGATTTGGCAGAGCAATTGCCTTTCCCAGCTATAATACGCCCACTGTTCCAGCAGACTGGGTCTCACAGTGGCTTCCACAAACATCCACGGTGCCTCTTCCGGGGCAGTGTGCAGGGCCACAAACGGAGGATTCATAGCCAGGGAGCTGCCAGCCAGCTTGGCCTCTTCCCAATGAAGGGCTCCCATGTTCAAGCAAGAATTCCCAGAGCCAGGAGAAAGCACGTTGTCTGTTTGTTTGTGGGGTTTTTTTTTGTTGCTTTATGAAATAAGATTAATCGCTTGGGGGTTGGTAGATAAAAGGAGCTCTCAGCAGATGCAGGAAGTGAGCAAGGAAGAACATGAGCCTCAACAGTTTTGGGGACACAGGGCTCAAAACATCAAAGCTGGGATGATCTGAACAAGCTCAGTGTTGTTTGCTCTCCCAGGTAACCCGGGCACTGAGTTACCTCTCTGGCAGGAAGTGGGGAGCTTTCCAAAATCAGGTCATGGTAAACAGAATGCTGAGTGCAGACAGAGCAGGGAAAAGTTGGTAATTGAAAACAGGTACTGACAAAAGATAATGCAGAGATAGAGGAAGGCAAAAGCATGCATAAAGAAAATCACATTCTAGAGCAGGGCCCAGACTAAAGTCAGTGTATGGCTCTTAGGCCTCTCTGTGCATATAAATTAGGATTTGTTCACATGCAGAAATGGTACAAGGTTAACAAAAATTAATTTTAAAAGATGCAGGGTTCTGAGTTGAATCCATAAAAGCCTCTGATGGTCACTGCAGCAGATGAAAGCAGATTTCACTGGCTATCTCGTTCTGGATGTGATTTATACAAAAATGACTTAAAGAGTAACAAGGCTATAGAGTGAGTTTAAAAACACATTCAATAACTCATCTCATAAACAGCAACTCAGATAAGACAAACAACAATGAAGCCACACAACAAAATCACTGAGAAACTACCCCAAAATTCCTTCTGCAAACCAAAAGGAAAGGTCTGAGGCTATTGTCCACCTCCACCTAACAGGCTTTCCAAAGAGTGGTTTACAAGTCCTGGAGATTTAACAAGCACATGACAAGGGAAACCTTGAGCCCCACCATGCTCAAAAAGGTGAAGAAGCAGCTCCTGAGAAGCAAAGATCCCAGATGAGTGGGGCAAGGGCCCTTCTGAGCACTCACGACTTGAGACCAGCTGCAACGCTGCACTCTCAGCACCCCCGAGCATCACAAGCAGTGAGAAACCAACTGTGGGGAAAGAGTTTTGGCCGGCCAAAATGACAAACCTAAATCTGCAGGAGCACTCAGTTAAACCACCAGTGCCACTGCAAGTTTCCTGCACAGCTTGCCTGGTGCAAGAGGTGGAACACCCCAAGCACAGCCCTGGGAAACAGGTTGAACTGAATGAACTGTATGAACACAGGGCAAAACCTCCTGAGAGCCAGCAGAAGCTGCCTGCTCCTTCCCACAAGTTCCTATTCCTTTTGAGGCTGAAGAACTGGAGTTACACCATCAGTGTGAGGGTTCAGGTGGCTCTTGCTGCCCACCACATCTTTCCACAGGACATTCTTGTTCCATTTATGTTCCTGGACCTTCTCGTTCCATTTTCATGCAATAAACTCTTCTCACCTAAATGTAACTTTTACATTTCTCCTTCCAGAACTGCACTGGATTTTGTTCAGCCCATTGGGTCAATCTCCAGAGTTTGTTTTGATCCTGATCCAGCTCTTCAAAGCTCTGGAACCCATTCCCAGCTCAGCCTGCAATTTCAGTAAGCACATTCTTGATTCCATTATCCAGGCCAAAACAAGGAACTTACTTGATAAATTCTTTCAGCTGAACAGTGACCTACTGTCAAGTTTCCTGGCAATGGTCTTCCAGGCAGTTTCATATCTATTTCGTAATATCTGAGAAACCAGTTCCTTCTTGCACTGTGCACTATAGGTCTCTTGCAGGAAGGGCTTCAAGAACCTCAAGAAATCCTTATTTCAGGCTTTCAACTTAGAAAAGTAACATGAAAATAGCACATGAGCAGTTCTTAAAGGGATAAGGGGGATGCAGTAACAGGATGGAAGTGCTCAGAGCAGCCCTGGAAGGGTTACACACCCCTCACTGCTGGAATGCAGCAGAAAATGTCTACACAAAACTTTAATTAACTGCTAGCTCTTCTTTGACAGACATCAAGGAGCCCCAAAGGGTGTTGCACCAAACTAAAATTTGAGAAACTGGGCTGGAGCATATTTTTCAAGCTGATTTCTGCTCACCTGAGGAGGAATCAGATTAGCTGAACATGGCAAATAACTCTACTTGACTTCTTGTAGGTGTTACAAGCAACACACTTGTCTTGGGAGTCTCCTAGGAGATAAAGTTGGCTTGGCTGGGTTGCACTCCCTGAATTTTTTTCCTCCTTTCACTCCCTAAATTTTTGCTGAAGTAGCAGTTTGTTCTGACACAGGAACAGGGAGGGCTGTGCCCACTTTCCCTGTCACATATTTCCAGGTGTTCCCCTCAGAGCTCCTCTACTGCAGCCAGAAGGAAAAATGGTTCAACTGCAGAGATTTAGGCAGCACTGTTTGGTAACTGTTAGATGAATATGGCAACTAAAAATACAGATTTCCTTATTGTGACACTGTGGAAACATTATAGGGCTGTATTTAAAATCAGCAGATGGACCCTTAGCCACAAAAGCTGCATTTAACCAGATTTTAACCCAACCCAGCCTGTTTGGCTGGTGGGAACATTCAGATATGGGGATGAACAGGTACTTTGTGCACCTCCCTGAAAACTCCACCAGCTCCAGTTGTGCTCAGTGATGTGCCAGGCTCCTGCAAAGCCTCCTCAGACCTTGCACCAAGAAAAGTCAGACCCACAATTTGGGGAGACTCAAGGCTCTTCCTCACAAATCCTGGGCTCCACAGCTCAGGGATGGATGGATCAGCAGTGCAGGTTCTTAGAAGGAGCTCGGT